TCACAAGCGGGGTACCACAGGGCAGTGTATTGGGCCTGCTGTTGTTTGTTTGTTTCATAAATGACATGCCTGGCGTTGTACACTCCTCCATACAAATGTTTGCCGATGACGCCAAGTTATTTCGGGAAATCAAGAACCAAGCGGACTGTGAAGAGCTGCAGAAGGACCTCTGTGGGCTCCAGGAATGGTCGAAGAAATGGCTGCTGAGATTCAATGTCAAGAAGTGTAAGAGGATGCACCTGGGGCGTACCAACGGTAAGGAGGAGTATCTTATGTCTCAACAGAATGAAGAAGCTGCACTATTTGAGACTCAATATGAGAAGGACCTAGGTGTGTATGTTGACAATGAGCTGAGGTTCTCGGGCCATTCCGAGAAGAAGGCAAATGAGGCAAATAAATTATTGGGTCTTATAAGAAGGTCGTTCAGATATCTAGACGGTCCGTCCCTCGTAACGATCTTCAAAATTGAATTTCTTCATCATCTGGAGTACTGTCACCCCGTCTGGTCCCCGAGATATGCTAGGGACTGTCAGTTGGTTGAAAATGTTCAAAGGAGGGCCACCAGACTGGTGCCTGCACTTCGACACCTCAGCTACCCTGAGAGATTGGAGCGCCTGAACTTGCCTAGCTTATACTACAGACGGGCAAGGGGTAACCTAATTAGGGTGTATAAGCATCTCAAGGGGCACTACTCAGTCGAGTGTCCTTACTTGGAGCTGGCGGACGCTCGCCCCACAAGGGATCACAGTTCAAGATTAAAGAAGCCGCAAGTCCAGAAAACTGTAAGGGCAAACTTTTTCGGAGTGACAGTTGTGAACTCTTGGAACAATCTACCTGAAAGTGTTGTGACGGCACCGAGTGTGAGCTCTTTCAAGACAAGACTTGACCAACACTGGAGCAGGTTCAGGTACATTGAGGAGCCGGTGCATGCCCAGTACTTGCCAACAGTGCGTAACTGAGACGTGACCGATCGCCCAAGCGGCTAACGAGCAGATCAGTGGTGAAGAGGATTAAAAGAAAAAGAACACCACTCATATAACCGAAAAGGTGGGGACTCTCCAGCCAGTTCACACAAGGACCTGGCGGGAGCCCACAATCACTAAAGATGAGAAACGTCCCTTCAGCAACACAAGGACCTGAAGGGGCCCCTCCAACAAATCCTAAAACAGCACATTCCCTTGGATCGCACTTTAAACCAGCTTAGCTTAGGTTATCTAACCTCCCTTGCCCCAGGAGGACTGACGGACGTCTGTCACTGGTTAATCCACTAACCAGCCTCCGCGAGGTGGAAAGCCCACCTGCTATCATTCTTCTTCTGTACTTCCCACTTCGTAACTATACCTTGCCCTAAATCTCCTTGTTCACCTCAGAGCCACGGCTCTGTTTTCTCAGTGTTCTGACTGACTGAGGAAGTAGTCGCTCATTTCTGTTCAGAGTGTGAAGTACAAGCCTTGTGACAACTAAGATAATTGTTGTTCAATTATTGTGGAATTGTTTTGAGCGATATAAAATTAAATGACTAAGGAACTGTACACTGGTAGTGTGCTGACTGTGTATATTCGAAGTGAGAAGTCCAGTTGTAAGGACATAACTTGTGAACAGTTTGTGAAGATTTAGTGATTATTGAAGTAGACTACACTGTACAGTTCACAAGTGTGTTTCTCTGACCTGGTGGAAATCTACCTGCCTTTTGTTATGTGTGTACACTAATACCGATCGTCAGAAAATTACCAGAGACTGGCGGAACAGCTAGAAGATATTGGAAGCATAATGTGTTGTCTTTTTTACTTTTATCCTCTTCGCCATTGATCAGCTTGTTAACCGCTTGAGCGATCGGTCACGTCTCTGATTACTTTTCCTTTTCATTTATCTTCTTCACCAAAAGATCGGCTCGCTAGCCGCCCGGTCGATCGGTCACGTCTCTGTCACGCGCTGTTGGCATATATTGGGCATGCACCGGCCCCTGAATGTACCTGAACCCGCTCCAGTGTTGGTCAAGTCTTGTCTTGAAAGAGCTCACACTCGGTGCCGTCACAACACTCTCTGGTAGATTGTTCCAAGAGTTTACAACCCTCACTCCGAAAAAGTTTGCCCTCACAGTTTTCTGGACTTGCGGCTTCTTCAATCTTGAGCTGTGACCCCTTGTGGGGCGAGCGTCCGCCAGCTCCAAGTAAGGACACTCAACAGAGTAGTGCCCCCAGAGATGCTTATACACCTCAACTAGGTCCTCCCTTGCCCGTCTGTAGTATAAGCTAGGCAAGTTCAGGCGCTCCAATCTCTCAGGGCAGCTGAGGTGCCGAAGTGCAGGCACCAGTCTGGTGGCCCTCCTTTGAACATTTTCAACCAACTGACAGTCCCTAGCATATCTCGGGGACCAGATGGGGTGACAGTACTCCAGATGGGGAAGCACTTCACTCCTGAAGATCGTTACGAGGGACCTTCTTATAAGACCCAATAATTTATTTGCTTGATTTACCTTCTTCTCGCAATGGCCCGAGAACTTTAGCCCATTGTCAACATACACACCTAGGTCCTTCTCACATACAGTCTCAACTAGTGCAGTTTCTTCATCCCGTTGGGACATATGATACGCCTCCGTACCGTTGGTACGCCCCAGGTGCATCCTCTTACACTTCGTGACATTGAATCTCAGCAGCCATTTCTTCGGCCATTCCTGGAGCCCACAGACGTCCTTCTGCAGTTCTTCACAGTCCGCTTGGTTCTCAATTTCCCGAAATAACTTGGCGTCATCGGCAAACATTTGTATGGAGGAGTGTACAACGTCAGGCATGTCATTTATGAAACAAACAAACAACAGCGGGCCCAATACACTGCCCTGTGGTACCCCACTTGTGACAGGCACAGATGATGATTTCGTGCCATAAATCACCACACAATGCTTGCGGTCATGTAGAAAGTCTTCTATCCACGCTAGGACATTTCCCCGAATTCCGTACCCTTCCAGTTTGATTTTCAGCCTTTCGTGGGGTACACTGTCGAAAGCCTTGGCAAAATCTAGGTAAATATTGTCGATATTACCACCCCGTTCCAGAATATGGGTCCAAATATCCAATGCCTTGAGCAATTGTGTTAAGCAGGAGCGCCCCGGCATAAAACCGTGTTGGCAACCTTTTACAAAGTTGTTTCGTATTAGATGTTCCATTGCGGCATCTCTGATAATACTCTCAAGTACTTTAGATAATATGCTGGTCAGGCTCACCGGTCTATAGTTGTTCGTGGAGTGTGACGATCGCTCTTCTTGAAGATAGGACTCACATAAGCCACTTTCCATTCACTGGAGACCATTTGTTCATCCAGGCATTTACAAAACAGGATCTTCAGGGGCTCTGTAATGGTAGACCCTGCTGCCGTATGGCATCACAAATATTGTGACCAAGTCCCAGGTTGCTGATCTGACTTTCTGCTTCATTTACACGCAATTGCAGGTCTCAATTGTTTCTCTTACTGTGACCACCTCAACATAGATATATTGTTTCTCATTATTGATTTGTTTTTGTTGTTTTGTTTTTTTTGGTTTATGGTTTATAATTTATTTTTTAAAATTTTATTAGTATTAATATTTTCTTTATTATAAGTGTTGTTTATTTTTATTAAATTTATTATTATTATTAAGGGTATTATTATTATTTTATATTTTTGCCCCTCCCCCCCCCCGACCTGTGCTCAGGTGGGCTAATGTCCGCAAAAACAAAACAAAAAAAACAGGACTGTTACAAGCGGAAACGAGAGCAAGAGAAGGTCAATACAGAGAACATGGAGAGGAGAGGATGTTGGACGTGTGGAGAAGATGGGCACTTCAAGATTAATTTCCCACAGAATTCCATGAGAGGGAAAGAAGAGCAGCCTACTAAGTCGGAGAAACTAGAGATGGCTGGTGCTGAGGGACAAAAACCAGCCTGTCTCACCAGAGCTCCGCTTTTGACAAAATGCAACCAAGCCATTGTAAGGAGTGTCCAGGTTGAAGGCGAGATCGATGGCGTAAGGTGTCCGTTGATGATCGACACAGCCTCGGAGCAGACTTTTGTGAGGCCGGACGTGGTTAGTCACCAACAACTCTCTGAGACGCCACAGCAGCTGCGCGGGATAACTGGACAATGCACAGTACTAAAAGGACCAGTGGATATTCAGCATCAAGCTAGGAGGGGAAGAAGAAACCCTACAGGTTTATGTAGTGGATATAACAGATCCTTGCATCCTGGGTCTGGACTACCTCCAACCTCGCAAGTTGGCTCGATGTAGTTGAAAATTAAAGGGAAGTGGGTACCGCTGGGGGCTGTGAAGCATGTCAGTGCTAAGGTTACAGCTAGGCGGTCAGTAGTTATTCCTCCAAGATCAGAGGTGAGGTTGCCGTGCAAGGGGAATGGTACCTTGCATATCCGTCTGGGTGTGGTGGTGCCTTGATTGTCAGTAGTGTTGTCGGAGAGAGGCACTTCCCAAGAAGCGTAGTCACCCTACAGTGGAGGAGGATCAAGCCGTTGCTGGGGAAGGCCTTGAGAGCTGCAGCTGGAAGACCAAGACCTGCGACCAGTGGTCGAAATGGATGAGCCAGAGCTCAGTGCGACCAGCATGGGAGACGATCTCTGGAGCAAGTCCTATGACTAAAAACTACTGGGCTCAGTGGGATGCTCTTGGGCTGAAGGATGGTCTGCTGCAGCTCCAGTGGGTGACTACAGATGGCTTCAACAGGTACTGACAGACAGTACTTCCCCGAAAGATAAGGTCAGAAATCCTGGGAGAGATGCACAACAAATCAGCCAGTGGACATCTGGGAGTGAAGAAGACCCTGAGTCACCTGCGGCAAAGGTTATACTGGGCATCCATGCGTCAGGATGTGGAAGAATGGCGCCGTTCCTGTGATGTCTGCTGCGTCGAGAAGGGACCAAAGCTACACACGCGTGCCCCACTGCAGTTTTACCAGGCAGGCGCACCAATGAAGAGGGTAGCAGTGGATATTGCGGGACCTCTGCCACTCACTGCAGATGGGAATCTGTGTGGCCATGGAATACTTCACTAAATGGCCAGAAGCATATGTCATCCCGAATCAGGAAGCCACGACTGTTGCCAGGGTGTTGGTTGACCAGTTCTTCTACCGGTTTGATGTGCCCCAAGAGTTGCACTCAGACCAGGGCAGAAACTTTGAGTCAGCTGTGTTTAGTGAGTGCGGTAAACTACTGACCACTCCACTTCGGCCACAGTCAGATGGAATGGTGGAAAAGTTTAATTGGACCGTGGGACAAGAACTGGCCAAGTACTGTGTTGAGGGACAGATAGAATGGAACCAGAAGCCACCTGCTCTGTTGATGGCATACTGGTCGGCTGCCCACGAGTATACACAGGCAAAATTGATGCTGGGTCACGAACTGCGGCTGCCAGTGGACCTGCTGACAGGAAGACCACTTGATGAACTACCTTTAGAAACCACCAGTTACGTTGAAGAGCCTCCAAGAGAGGTTGAACATCATCACGTTCGAGGAGCTCTGGAGTTCTCGGGTGAAGTGAAGCGCAACCAAGATGTCAAAGCAAGCCACGTCTATTACAAGGACCTGCATACCCCTCAGTCACCGAAGTTGCAGAGTCCACGGTAGTGGAACGCCTTTCGGATGTGACCTACCGGATCAGGGGAGGAAGGAAGGCTCAGCCAAAGGAAAAGTTGTTTGGACATACTTCCTAGCCCTCATTGGTCCTTGTTCACCTAGCAGTAATGTAGGTACCTGTTGTAAATCGAAAGTTGCGAATTCGTATTCAGAGAAAGTTGTCGGAGCTTCCATTAACTTGATGACATAAACCATTGACTCTTCAGGCTTCTACGCCCATGACTTCAGGTTTCTACGCCTTAACTCATGAGACATAAAGGCAAGCATGAAGTTAGCATGCTTCCCTGTTGGGCGCTGTAAACGCTTCTGCGCTTCACCTTACACAAGGATGTAGGGGGCGCCCCCCCCCCCACCCCCCCAAAAAATAGTAGTCCAAGCCAAGGAAGAACAATGATCCACAAATTATTTTTTACAGCAGCATGTGTAGAGAGAAAATGTTCTGTATGTATGCAATATATATATATATATATATATATATATATATATATATATATATATATATATATATATACATATAAATACATATAAATTTTACAAAATTCACTTAAATTGAGGAAATATACAGTATATTACCTGGTGACACTCCACCGCTCTTTTGTCTTGCCCGGTACCTTCTTCTCAGCCAAGATCAGAAAGTTTCTTAAAATCGATATATACCATTAGAAATATTATTTCTTGATCAATATATCTTAGAAATATTTCAGAATCCGCATAAATATAATATATATGTATTGTTTTTATGTCATGGCGGAGGGAGCTTGTGCTAATAATCTCAGAATTCCCGGAATATTTCACACCAGTTGTTTACTCCTGCAGATGTAAACAACCTGTGTCAAGTTATCACTGAACTCACTTTATTACACGGAAGAAAGGTAAGATATTCATATTAACTGATCCATTAAATATACTTATTAAGATGTAGAGGTAGTCCAAGTTAATTTTGACCTTTTACATAAGATTTGTGAAGGAAAAGAAAATTATGGATACAGTTGAGATATATGGAGGCGGCTACTCCAGTCACTGATGAAGGTGTTAGAGTCTGTGTTTATATGGTTTTTTTTTTGGGGGGGGGATTTTTGTAAGTGTTTTTAAGTTTCCAACACTTACTTATATATTGAATCATATAGGGAGAAATAAATAACGGCAAATTAGCATTATCAGTCCAACTGTTCGACCATAAAAATTTTTTTCCTTCAATGGTATTTGGTGTGATTTATTCGAATTTGACCCTCATAGACCCTCATTTCCGTCAGAAATGAGTCGTTTTGGAGTTATGATAATTATTTATGGCTTCATAGCCGCTAATTTTTCATAGAAAACGAATTTTAAAAATGCTGCAATTTCAGTGTTTTATAGTAGACACTGTTGTAGTTAAGGCAAATGTGTTAAAATTTGTTTATTTAAAAGTTCAAATTAAGTTAACCTAATCTAACCTAACCTTAACCTAACTTAACTTTTGTAAATTTTTACGAAACCATTATCACTAGAAGTTGTTTGTTGATTTTCTATATTTTTGCTATACTTATTGCTTTGATGATTTTAAGTATATTAAAAGAAACGACAACTTTCTAGTATAATTTTAAATATTTTATTTTTTATTTTTTTTATTTACTCTATCCTGCTTCACAATTCTCCTCCCGGCGTCATTTTTGTTGTTTATCTCACTGAATCCGTCTTCAAGAGACTTTTCCTAAATGATGGTGAACACTTGCACGTATTCCTCCTCGCCATTGCTGATGTATGTATATCAACCTAAATATTAAGATAAGTTGTTTAACACGTAAATTAACACGATAATGCATAGAACCTAATAAAACCTGACCTAACCTACCAAACTTATGGGTATGTTAGGTCAGGTTCTATTAGGTTCTATGTATTGAAGTTTCCATTTCTGTGTTTAATGTCATGCTTATAGTGTTTCCAAAAGAATTGAACCAAATCGCACATTTCCTTCTGGTGATAACGGTTTCGTAAGTCTTACCCTAACTTTATCCTAACTAAACCTTAAACTAAACTAAACCTAACCTAACCTTAAACTAAACTAAACCTAACTAAACTAAACCTAACCTAACCTTAAACTAAACTAAACTAAACTAAACCAAATCTAGCATAATTTAACACTTGCCATGGGCGAACTTACTGTTACTGAAATGTGGGGGAAGTGTCTGTGAAGTCCTCCATATTAACCGGAGTTATCACCCCCCTCCCCCCTCCATAGAACCTGACCTAACCTAACCAACCAAAGAAACCTACCTAACCTTACCTAACTTCCTAGCTGTCCCCACCATATTAAACAGGAAGTACCTCTTTTGATATCTGGGACCAATAAAAGTAACTTTGTTGAAGCATCATGGGGTAATTTTTCTTTTTTTTTGTGGATGTGAGAGTATGCTCAAACTGAGCGGGTCAGTCGTGAACAAACAGAATTGGTATCAAGTTTATGGATCCCTCCTCATCTGAGCATCGAAAAAAACACCATCACATACTAAACATTGTAACATGAATAAAGTAAGCTTTTTATTGTTTCAGGATTTGTAAATGTTAACTAAGCTTTTGAAAAGGTTGTACTGTACTTTGTTTTTTTATTATTTTACCCAACATTTTCCCTCTACTTCTATGCCCTGTCCACTTTGAATACGTAATATTATTGGTAATTTTATTGGTTAAATTACTCTAAAAATATAAATCTCGAACGGAAATGCCATAATATAAAATATTTTTCTTTTGTTCTCTTTTTCCCTAGGCCAACACATTATTCATTTTGATGTTTATATTTTTACTATATTTTCATCAATAAGTTCTGATATAATAATAATTTTGATGAAAATTGCTTCGTTTGGTAGATAATTAGGTGACCAGGCGCGCACTACTTTGTCTTTCTCGGTGTGATGCTGTGGTATACAGCCAATCCGGCAGTCGCCAGTGTTTGTTTATGAGCCACACGGATCAGGTGGTTGCTCTCATGTCCACAAGAAATATAAAGTTACACTCTTCCTCCTGAAAGTTGTTGAGCCCTTCACCTCCCACTTGATGGGCAAGCTGGACGATGAACTGCACATCCTGGTCGACTGTGAGGAAGCCAGCAAAGTCGTTCCACCACCTCTGGCTACAAAGCCCTCCAGCAGGAGTTAACACAGAGGGCTGTTAGGTCATCGTGGCACTGCTTGATAGAGGAGATGCAATCTGCGATGTAGAACTTCTTCAACATTTCCCGCACTGACTCGGCACCATCCCGCGTGTCGTCGTCCAAGGCCTGGTGTATCCTGCTGAAGGTGCGGATCATGTACTTGGCCTTGAAGACAGCGATGACTCCCTGGTCGAGTGGTTGGAGCAATGATGTATTCTTGGGCATAAAGATCACCTCAACGTTTTTGTTGGCAACCTTGATGGCCTCGAGGTGGCCAGGGCAGTTGTCGATCACAAGAAGGACCTTAAACTCCAGGCCTTTCTCCTGCAGGTAATCCTTGACCTCCCTCATAAAACAATTGTGAAACTAGTCGGTGAACAACACTGCCGTCATCCAGGCTTTCTTGTTGTGGCGGTAGAAAACCGGGAGGAGATGCACGTCTTTGTTCTTGAGTGCACGTGGACGCTTTTCACGGTGCAGCAGCATGGGCTTGATCATGTGTCCTACAGCATTTCCACATAGCTGGAGAGAGACATGATCTTTGGCCATCTTGAAGCCCAGTGCACTCCTTTCTTCCCTGGCATCATCTTCCACCACAAACCAGTCTTGTCAGCGTTGAAAACCTGCTCCAGCTTGTAGCCCTTCTCCCGTATAATCTCGGCAAAGATTGCAGGATACTCCCTTGCTGCTACATCATCCGCCGAAGCTGACTCACCAGTGATCCTCAAATTCTATAGGTTGCAGTGCTTATTCAAGTTCTCAAACCATTCCTTACTGACATTAAAACCTTTCTTTATGGTATCACCAAAATCACCAGCACTAGCACCACCTTCCTCAGCATGGAATCAGTCATACAAGACCTTGGCTTTGTCATAGATAAACTTCTGGCTGAGAGGGATGTGGCGGCAGTTAAAGTCATCAATCTAGATGTTAAGGACTTTCTCCATCTTCACCATAGCTGCATCCCTCACATTAGTGGCTACCTTGGCAGAAGAGGGAGCACTTAGGGCAATGGCATTACAAATCTTCCTCTCTTTCTTCTTGATGCAGTGGACTGTTGATTCATTGATGCCATACATCCAGCCACATGTGGCAAAGCTTTGGCCACTCCTAAGTTTATCCAGCTGTTGTATCTTCTCCACAAGGGTCATGACCTTCTTTTCTCTCTTCACTTGTTTGGGCACCTTCCCATGGCTGGATGAAGGTTGTTGAGGGCATTTGGGAGTCATCACAAGTACGAGGAGCACAGTTGTTAAGAGAGCAGAGTACTACGCTCACGAAACGGATAACTGTTTATCCCAGACTGAGGAGGAGTGTGTGTGTTTCCCAGCCTCCTGAGACAACAGTTAAACCTTGTTGGATGCCACAAAATTCGTGCGATCCCGGTCCAGGCCGTGAGCATGCCACCACCTTTAAGAGTACCCGCATACATTCTTGGGTAAATCCAGAGTGTCATAAGCGAATAATCGAAGGCCACAAATTAAAAGCCTAGCTAATTTTAAGGGCATGCTGTAATAGGCTATTAGAGATGGCCAGGTCAACCAACTACTGTACCCAACAAAAATCTCAATAGAAGATAACTAACCTACCAAATTTCACCAAACCTAAATTAATGCACTTCCATCCTGTGTAACAATACAACCCTATCATAAATCCAGGTATCCTGTACAGTAGTGTACTGTACCATACCTGAACTCAGATTTAGCTTGATGTTGATTTTGTATTAACTTTGCCCAAAATTATAGTTTGATAGAATGTTATTGAAAGTTGGTATTTCAGGTTTCATGATGCCAGTTCAGACAGATGGTCCAGAAGATTATAAAGCCAAATATAAGACTCTGAAGAGGAAGCTAAAACTTCTTATTTATGTGAGTAATGTCATTGTGCTTACTTGGACCATGTTGCTATTGCCTGTGTCATATTGTCTCCTTTTTACTGATAGTATTTAAAACAAAATTGTTTGGCAAAGACTCAGTCTCATTTGTATTTACTGCAATGTTGTTTCTTTTGGAAAGATTTACACTATACTGTATACTTCAGGCATTTATCATTCCATATTTTGCAGGTAAATGTCAACAAGTTACCCAATTACAGTGACCCCTCGTTTAACGAACTCAATCCGTTCCAGAAGGTCGTTCGTTAACCGAAAAGTTCGTTAACCGAAACCATTGTTTCAATGGGTTTTTGGGTAATTGGTTCCAGCTCTCCGAAAATTTCCTGAATTCAACAAAAATGGTAGAAAAGTTCACTTACTTTGAGGTGTGTATGTAGAAGGCTCCTGGATAATGATGATGATGATGGGAATTAGAATGGTGGTGGACGAGAAGGGAGAAGAGAAGGCATTGGGGTGGAAGAGGTCACCCCATGGCACCATTTCACCCATAAAATTTTAGTTCTCTTGGTGTAATTCAAGATTATTTTCTTTAAATCAACACTGCACTGCTTTATGTATTGTCAATATGTAAAATAAATTTCAAAATGACCAATAATTTGCTTGGAAACACAGAAAAAAGGCATTTAGTTGAAGAGAGTCTAAAGCAAGATGTTACCTCCAATGAAAACAGAGAGAGACTAATGCCTGTTTGCTGTGTTAAGAGGCGGGATGCCGCGCATTAAACTAGTCACTTTACCTTCAATTGTGTTCAATAATTGTTAAAATTACTAAAAAATTGAATATTAAACTTTTAAAATTATTGAATAGTATAAACTTCTTGGTATTTACTAAAACAGTAAGGAATTTAAGCCCTACAACCGATTAATGTATTGGCTGACTGATACTAAAGCTGGTTGCCCGGTCAGTGCAAGCGAAAACATGTTGAGGTCGGTTCGTAAGAAATTCGTTAACCGAATTTTTGTTCGTTAACCGAATTGAAGATCCTTATGGAAGGCAGTTCGTTAACCGAGGCGTTCGTTAAACGAGGGGTCACTGTATTCTCAATTAGCTGCAAGTGTGTTTGTTTTACATTAACCCCTTCACCATGGGAAAGCCATTTTATTAAATTTTATTTGACTATCGCCAAACAATTTTATTCAGCTGAGAGAGGATCCTGTACACAAATGCTTACTTTTCACAGGAAAATGAGTGCTTCCAAGAGGAACTGCGAAAAGCCCAGAGAGCACTGTTGCGTGTCAGACGAGACAAATCTTTCCTCCTTGACCGCCTCCTGCAGTACCAGCGCGGCCCAGACTCTTCCTCTGACTCAGAACAAACAGAAGAATCTGACACAGAAAATGATTCCAAGATTGAGGCAAAGAGGTGAGTTAAACACAAACCCTTTTTTCAGTTTCTCAGTTTTAAATGCAGTCATTTTTTATTAGAGTTTTATATGCAGAATTGTTTTTTTATGTAAGAGCCATAAATTACTATATTTTAGGATATGCAATAAACAGGAACCTAAAGATCAGTACCTGTAGGAATAAAGTTTTATCATATGTAGGTTAGCCTCTTATTTACAATGAGTGATATCTTCTGTTTACCTGTTACAATCACTGATGAATATCCATTAAGGTCAGTCTTCAAGGTTCCATAGAAGTATCATAAATAAGTGGTCTTTTCTCCATTTATTAAGAAAATAAACAAATAGTTATGATATCACCATATTTAACAATTGGAGCTGTGGGCTTTAATTAAAAGATGACGCTCATGTGTATCAAGCTCCATGAGCCTCACATGAGTCGTCAGCTAGAGAGTGGTGTGTGGACTGACTGTAGAATCAAGTCACAGGCCAGGAGTTCGGTCCTTACTGTTTACATAGCCAGGGCAGAAGACTATAGGTCAGATGTCATCTGTTAAACAAGAAGATTAATTACCATCATCCCTCGCTAAGTATTAGAGAAAATGAGAGACACTTGCTCATAGTTTAATTACTGTGGGTGTGGTAATTATATATACAGTATATACATAATGTATGTAGTCCATATTCATATAAGTATTACTGTCTCTTAGACAGGGGCTAATACATGAGGTTTGGTTACTTGCGAAAAAACTCGTCCGTGGTCGAAATGATGTAGATCAGGATCATTATAACAAGGGATTCAATAGGATAGGTTCCTGGCCTTCGGACACCCATATGTATCACCGAAAAAAAATATCCTAATATACCACTAACACTACAACACAATTAAACAACATTCACCATTTCATGAAGAAAAACATAAGAATGGAGGAAACTGCAGTGGGCCTATTGGCCCATACTGGGCAGTCCCATTTGCACCCAACCCCTATTGCTCATATATACATCCAACCTATATTTTAAGCTATCCAGAGTGTTCAAGTTAATGACAATGTTTGGTAACTTGTTCCACTCATCCACTACTCAATTTCCAAACCAATGTTTACCTATCTCATGCCATAATCTAAATTTGTCTTATTTAAAACCATTGCTACGAGTTCGTTCCTGAATGGATAGTATACTTACCTTTGTTATATCACCTTTGTTTCACCCTGACTTCCATTTATACACCTCAGCCATATCGCCCCTCACTCTACGTCTCTCGAGGAGTGCAAATTCAGATGCTTTACTCTGTCTTAATACTCAAGGTTCCTAAGACCCAGGATTAGTCTTGTCATCCTCCTCTGTATGATTTCTAGGGATTCGATATCCATTCCGTAGTACAGTGACAAAAACTGAAATGCATAATCCAAGTGAGGTCTCACAAGTGCAAGATATAGTTTTAGGATAACCTATCTAGTATTACAACTGACACTCCTTTGTATGAACCCAAGTACATTGTTAGCCTTGTTTCGAGCAAATATGCTTTGTTTTCTTGGTTTAAGATTCCTACTTATTATTATCCCTAAAGTTTTCTCACTGTCTGATTCTCTATATCAACGTTGTTCATCTGATATTTGGTTTCTCTGTTTACATCTCTTAGGCTAAATACTTTACATTTGTCCACATTAAATTTCCTCTGTCATTTTTCAGACCATGCAAAAGTTTTTTTTAGATCTTCCTGTAGTTTTGCGGAATCCTCGTCAGATTTAATTATCCGCCCTATTTTAGTGTCGTCAGCAAATTTACTTATGTTGCTGTCTGCGCCTATATCTATGTCGTTTATGTATATAATAAATAGTAATGGCCGAAGTACTGAGCATTAGGGTACTCCACTAGTGATATTACCCCAATCAGATTTAGTACTGTACGTATCATTAATGCCGACTCTGTTTCCTGTTGTGTAACCATGCCCTAATCTATTTTAGAATGTCTCCTCCAATTCTATGAACCTTAACTTTACATATTTGTCTTTCATGGGGGGATCCTGTCGAAGGCCTTGCCAAAGTTGAGGGAAACCATATCATAATTGTGTCCATCATCCACTGATTGAAACCAGTTGAAAAGAATAATAGATTTGTCAGACATGAACACCCACTTGTGAAGCCTTGCTGGGAGTCGTTGATCAATTTGTGTTTCTCGAGGTGATTTCGAATTGAGTTTGAAATCATTGCATCCAACAATTTACCTACACTTGATGTTAAATTAATTGGACGGTAGTTTGAGGATAGTGATCTACTGTAACTCCCCTCTTGAAAATTAGTATCACATTTGCTATCTTCCAGTATTCTGGTATTGCATCGGTTATTAATGACAAGTTAAACTAGTTTGCTAAGGGCATACTAAGTTTCTCCTTACATTCCTTTAATATTCTGGCAAATATTTCGGAACCTGGCGACTTATTAGATTTTAATTTATCTATTTTGTTTCCTAACATCATTACTGATCTCTACTATCTCGCTTAATTTATTTTCTTCACTATCTCTGTAGATAGTCTGTGCCTTGAATATCATGTTTAAATTTTTGTTTGTGAAAACTGTTGAAAAATCTGTTCGGATTATTGCTCATTTCTCTGTCGTTATGAGTTAGTTAGCCGGTATCTGTCTGTATTGGTCCAATCTTGTCTCAAGTTTTAGTTTGACTGTTAGACTTCGCCTCCCTTGCTACCTTTAGCTCATTATTCCTCTTTCCTTTTCTTATCTCTGTCTTAACCCTACTGGACAATAATTTATAATAATCTCGGAGGTAAACGTCACGATGATTTATTCTCCTACCTATCGCCTTTCTTTGTCCAATAATATTCTTTGAATAATTATTTTTCCTTTTGGGGTCATTGTTACAGTTAACCCTCACTTTACGCGGTTAATGTAACCCGGAGGGCCCCGCATAAAGTGAGAAACGCGTAAAGTGAATAACATAACATATGGGATTAATTGAAATGGAGTCCGGGCCGATCCCCAAACTCCACTTTTTGACGACACACAACTATGTTGTAGTAAAAATATTATCTTAACTTTATGATGGTATGCACACACAATTAATAATTAAGAGAAATATCAATAATATTAGGTTTTTTAACACTTACATTAGTAGAAAAAATGGCTGGGCACACGGGGATGGGCGGTTGGTTCCGAGGCAGAGGGCAGATTATTGGCCCTCACCTGTGTCACTTGTATCAATTGTATCACTATCCACCACAGAGGCTTGCAGGGCCTCTTTGTCAAACTCCCCAAAGTCCATATAAGTCCATATCCTCACCATAATTATCACTATCACTGACTTGGGCCGGCTGTGGTGGGTGGCGGGTGAAGAACTGGTAATGTTTTGATGACTGGGCGACCTTGTGCGCACCATGTTCGCGCAGCTTACACAACATGGTGGATGGCGGGAGGTTTGGATCCAAAAATGGCGCGGCTCGCCAGCCGCTCTCCGCGTAAAGGGGTACACGCACCGCGGAATGTGAGCATCCTGGGTTCCGGCAGGGCACCGCGTAAACGTGGAAACGCGGAATGCGGGACCACGTAAAGTGAGGGTTAACTGTATTTGATTTGAGTTTTCTGTGTGGTATATTCTGCCTTTGTGCATTAAGTAACTCAATATTTAAATTGTTATGGAACTTGTCAATCTCATATCTTGTGGTCATATTTTGTGAGGATATTGTTGTCAGGACACCAGGTGAAATGAGGTCACCTTCTGTGTGTACATTGTGTGAGGTCACGTTATTTACCATCTCCCGTGAGGTCTTGTAATTCACCCCCAAACGTAATACCCCTTCTCTCAGCTGCCTTTTCAGCCTATCAAAATTTGCCCTTCTGAAATCTGAGACTTTAATGGAAGTTTCCTTGCGACTGACATTAAGTTCTACTTTAAATCTCACTTCTTTGTGATCGCTGTTAGTTAGTTCGTTCCCTACATTGACACTACTAATGAGGTTTTCACTGTTTGACAGAACTACAGCGAATCTAGTATAATATTATCCTGGGTGGATGCAGCTATATGTTAACTTAAGAAACAGTCCTGAACTGTTTCAAAAAATTACTCTGATTCTGAGTTTCCTGTAAGGTCAGTCCAATCTGTTTGACCAAGTTAACCCTTAAACCCCGGGTTAGGGTGCTGCTGGCAGTACACTCCTCGCGGGATAAATCAAGACAAAATCACCCTTTCCAATAATAATAATAAAAAAAAAATTGGCGGGAATAGGCGGACGTTCTGGAACGTCACCCGGGGCCTAAGGGTTAACGTCGCCTACTATACAGACTTTGCTATGTCTGGATGCCCTGCACATTTCATCCCAGATAAGTTGCTCATTATCCCTATGAAGATAAACTCCATTACCCAGAATCCCTCTTAAATGGAACTCTCCGATAGCTGGAATTTAAATTTTCTTTTAATTTTCTGTAAAATTCCGGGTTTGGGAACAATTTTCCAAGGGGTGCATTTTCTGGGAGATTCAAAGAAATTTTTCCCAGTACCCAGATAATTACAGTTAATTCTGGGTATGTGGGATTTTTTCTTCCCTTTTTGAGAGATGAAATTCAGGCACATTTTCAGGAAATTCTGAGAACAATTTTCTGGTACCAGAAAATTTCGGAAAATTCCAGGAATGGGGGATGTTTTCCGGCCTTGAGAGATGATGTAATGCGCAATTTCTGGACCTTCCGAGAAAATTTTCTGTACCATTTGTTCCGGCTATCGGAAATAACCCTATATTAATCCTAATATTGCTTTTATCCTACCATCGGTTAATTTTATCCAGATTGTTTCTGTATTGAGTTCAGTTTTTATTTCCTTATTGATTTACACTTAAAATTATCCCTGGCATAGATTACTACCCCGCCTCCTTTCCTAATCTTCCTGTCAGTGTGCAATAATTTGTATCATTTACAGTAGTTTGGTATTTGGCAGGTAACTCATGTGAGTCAAGTTTATCCATGTTTCGTTGAATGCTATATACAAACGCCCTGATTTCATCCATTTTATTTCT